AAGGAATCTGAGTTTTGCAAGTTCTGAACAAAATTTAGGTTATAAGGACTCTCTTGGGACACTGGGGCGTGGTCCCAAAATACACAACTGTCCTAGAAACCCAAGATGGCTAGGCATCCTAATCATGTGCCTTGGTCATGGAGGCCAGCAGAATAATAGGGTTCAAAAAAGGACTGGACAAATTTATGGAGGACAAGTCCATCCGGGGCTGTTTCACAAAACCGTCAGGAATGTAATCCAACATTAGAACATCCAAAACCTTATGTCTGTGGCTGGCTGGAAGGGTCTGACAGGGGATGGACCACTCTACCCATATTCTGTTTCTTATACTTCCCCTCTAAAAAATCCACTGCAAGCAACCACTGAAAACTGATTTATGTTGTAACCATTATCAGCTTACAGGTCTTGCCAGACAGCAATTCCTCCCTCATCCTCCTTCCTCCAAAAAATGTCCCTTCCAGAAATCAATAGCCATGTAATGTACATATGTACAAATGGCACAAGGAGGCAGAAATTGTGTGGAAAACTGTCATCACCCACCCACCTATGTAGCAGAGCCACCCTTCATGTTCCCACTCTGTTCCTTTAGGCTCCACATAGCTTCCATGTGCTTGGTGATCTCGGTCTTCCGGCGTGGAAAATTGAGCCTGCGGTCAGTGTGGTCCATGCTGATCAAAGGTGTGCTGTTCCAACCAATTTCCTGGCTCTCTGTTTGTGGCTCCGAATATTTCTTGCTTGGCTCCAATGTTGCGTGGTGAATGAGATTCAGAAATTCAGTGTCCACAGGCTCCTCCACATTGTCGTGCCAAGACATTGGTTTCCTAGTGAATGTGTGGATACGGCGCTGCGGGTTCAAGCTGAAGTGCGTGTGCAGGTGCTGGCAGCGCAGCTCCTTCTGCACTGTCTCACGGAATATCTGGTCCCGGTGCACTGCATCTACTGCCTCTTTGTCCGCACCACGCAGCGCCATGGCTGGGCTTTTACATTGTGCCATGGCGGGGCATTTATATTGTGCTTGGAGTTTGTGACTTGATAGCCAGTTGAGTGGTGGCATTTTGACATCAGAGTCCTCCACAACCAATCCCAGGGGTGGAGGTGGGTCTGTACATACAGTGGGCAAAATAAGCAATGGCATTATGACCTCAGAACCAGGTTCTAGGATGGGAGAAGCTATGTGAGCATGGTGGGCAGATTAACCCATTGGCAGTACAATCAGAGGGGTTAGAGGTGTTCGTGGTTGTGCAGTGTTCCAGCTCTTCTCCCTTCTGGCAAGCTAGATCCCACTTTCATAAACATTTTCCAGCAGCTCTTTCTGCTTTAGTTGTGGGTTCCTGTGCCATCCATACCCCACTTGCTACAAAGACTAAGCAAGAATTTTGGCTAAAATAAACCAGCTGGGGAATTAATGCAGGGACAAAGAAATTTTGAAGTGGACAGAGGGGCAGGGGACAGGTCAACACTCCCCTCATTTGTCCTGCTTCTTTATGATGGATAAAGGAAGAATGAAAGCTTTTTTCTGCTTTTAGCCCTTAGAGACCCCTCGGCACCATATACGGATGAGTTTTGCAGTTCCAAGAAGTCATTTCCTTTGACTCCTTTTCTCTTCATCTCAATGGGTTACCGTGGTCTGTATTTTAATTAAGAGATACCTGACTGATTCTAAACTGTTCTGTTCCTATAGATGTATCCATCAGGTCCTTGCTCATATGCCTCCTCTCTCAGACATCCAAGATGAATCCATGTCAATCTCAGCTCAGTATGGCATCTCTCCAAGCTCCAGAGCTTTCCTCATTCAAGCCATGGGCAGGAAACATTCTTGAGGTGATGTCCCTTTTTCAGCTGTGGTTCTCTGAAGACATCACAGAAAGCCCAAGGCGTGTCTCTGTGGGGAGACAAATGGCTGACAAGGAGGCTATGGGCAATTTTATAAAAAGAAGTCCAGTGGCTTTGAGCCCCATAGTTAGCCATAGAGCAGTTATAAGGCAAACAGTTACTGAGAATCAAAGCTGGGGCATAACTGAGGTCCACTGAAGATTTCCAACACTGCAAGAAGTGTTGCAGAATCTGAAGCAACATACTTCATTCTCCTTACTTCATATCCATAGGCAGAATATTTTTTCTGCTCTGAAAAAGAGCTAATTAGCTTGTACAGGGCAGCATGATGCCTTCTCTGCATGGTCTGGAAATTCTGGTGGTGGGGGGAGGAGGCAAGAAGTCTGGCTATGCTCCATATTTCCCTGTCTCTGCATTTCAACCTACCATGGCTCACCAAGTCTAGAACTCCTGTCATAGTGAATAGGGGTTGGGTCTATTGTGCATGGTTTGTGAAGACTAGGACCAATTTTTAGACAAAATTGGGCTCGGGGGGGCACAAGGATACAACAGCCAAATTCCAGACTGTTTCAGAAAATACAGGGTAATTGGTCACCTTCATCTGAAGCTATGGCACCTTTTTTTCACAGGGCACAGCCTCTAGCTGCTCACTCCAATTAGAAAAAGAGTCTAAGATCAGTTTTAATTTAGCTTCTGTTTATGACTACTTGGGTTTATTAATTAACACAGTATATTGTGTAAACAAGAATTGCAAGCATAGGAAGGTATAAAGATTTACAGTTTATGGCCCATGTTTTGCAAGGATGCCTTAAAGCACAAGCTGTTGTACAGGTGATTTGGTCAGTGCTGTTCCCCTGCATATAACTCATTTCTACCTATGCTTGGTTTTGTTCTCTACTTCCTCCTAGGAATGGAGCAAGGAAAAGTAAAAATATTTAGGGACAGTGAGTTGCAAAGACCATTGGCTCAGTTTCTGATGGGATATTCTAAGGTTATATATTTGATGATAATTGTATCATAAGGTCCATAACACATGAAGGGCATTGAGCATGCATTTGATTTCATGTTGGCAGGACTTATGTGAATGCTCAAGGGCCCTAAATTACTGCACAGTAAGTGGGAATAAGCCAGTGTCTACACATGCAGATGACCTGGGACTAAAGTTAGTCCCAGGTCAGAGCAGCCTGCCATGTGCCCCTGTCGTCACCAAGGGGAGCTCCAGGCTCCAGCCACATGACTGCCAGCACCTGGGACTAACTTTAGTCCCAAATTGAAGTCAGGAGGCATGGCCGGCCAGCCCCCTAGTGACTGGGCAGACCCAGCAGGGAGGCCCCCTGGCAGTAGCTCAGTAACACATCTACTCTTGCCTGTGTTCTCTTCTAAGTTGGCAGACCTCCTCCGGCGGGCTTTAAACTAGGCTCGT